AAAAAAAAAAAAAAAAAAAAAAAAAAAAAAAAAAACCTGACGGATCCGAAACGTGACTTAAAACCACAAAAAAAGTCCGTTACAGCGCAGTTATTTAGATAAAATATAAATATTTATGCGTAATATAAAGTCAGTTCAAATAGACTTCAAATCACCTCTTAGTTCAAAGCAAAAAAATAAAATAAAATAAAAAGTTTCTGAGGTTTATCTGATAGAAAAAAGGCTACTTTGAGACGGGGGGGGGGCGGGGGGCGCGGCCGGACCCCCCTGCCCAGGTAGGTGAGTTGTTTTCAGTGCTCTGTGGGGCCGGGGGGACGCGCCGGGACCCCCAAAACCGCCCCAAACCCCCAGAGCGAGTACCCGTAATAACCTGGCCGGGGGGGCCGGGGGGGTCCTGGCCCCCTCCCGGGCCATCCACAGCATGGGGGGACCTGGGGGGGACCCCTGCCCCAACTCGGGCCCCCCCAGCCGGGGGGGGACCCCTCCCCACCCAGTGCAACCCCCCCCAGCCCAGTGAGGTCTGGGGGGGCAACACCCGCTGAGGCTTCAAGTCCATGGTGGGGGGGGTCGGGGGGCCGGACCCCCCCCGGGCCTGCAGTAGCGTCCCTGAGGGATCTCAGTCGGGGGCAGGGGGGCGGCCAGGACCCCCCCCAGCCCCGGGGGTCCTCGTGCCGGGGAGGGGGGGGCCGGGCTCTTCCTGAGACTGGAGGCAGGGAAAGGGGTGCCGGGCCCCCCCAGCCCTCCCCAGTTTGGTCCCTGGAGCCAGGTGGGGTCCGAGGGCAGCAGGGGGGGCTGCACCGGGGGCCCCCCCTCCCCGTAAAGTGTCTGAGCGGGCGGGGGGTCCCGGCCAGGGTGGGGGGCGAGGGGGGGCTAAGTCCACTTTACTGGCCGTTAATGCATGAGACGCTGCACAGGAGTGCTCGGACATTCACTAAACTATTGCTATCATTAAATATTCTCGGGGGGGGTGGGGGCTCTCCCTCCTCTGGGGAGGGGGTGAGGGGGGGGGCTGCTTCTGTTCTTAATTAGAAAATTAAATTTAAAAGAAAGAAAGAAAAAAAACACCTCTTTTTTTTTTCTTTTTGGCTTACACAGTCTGTGAGTTGGTGGTGCTGGGGGTTGGGGGGGCGTCTGGGCAGGATGGGGGGCAGAGAGAGGGGGGAGACCGGGCAGCGGGAAGGGGCCACGGGGCTGGGGGGGCCCGTTCACGCTGCCGGGGGTGAGGGGGGACGAGACCCCCCGTGTGGGATCAGCAGGCAGCGAGAGCAGCTCCAGAGGAGGCAGTTCGTGGGGTGACGGGGACCCCAAGCCCCAAGGGGGCACAGGGGGGGCACAGCTGGCCCCCCGCTCACGGGTTCGGAGCGTGTTTTCCCTGATAAAATTCCTCCCACCGGCTCTGGAAGAACCGGCGCATGGCGTGGCCGGCGCGGCCCACGGCGGAGTCGTCCTCGTTGAAGGTCTGGCAGTTGTCAAACACCAACAGGGCATCGGCCTCGAACTCCGCCGAGCTCGAGTACCTGGGGGGGGGACAGGGTGGGTGAGGGGCGGCCGGGGACCCCCATGGCCCCCACCGGGACCCCCATCCCCGGGAGTGACCCCGTCAGCCCCAAAGGAGCCCCATCCCCAGGAGGGAACTCCATCCCCTGAAGAGACCCCAACGGCCCCTGAGGGACCCCGTGCCCGGGATGGATCCCCATTCTCAGAAGGGCCCCCACCAGCCCCCGAGGGACTCCCCATCTCTGGAAGAGACCCTGCCAGGCCCAAAGGGACCCCTGTCCCCAGGAGGGACCCCCGGCCCCCCCGCTCACCCTCCCCGCAGCAGCCGCGTGCGCATGGTGGCGAAGTCCATGGGGTTCTTGATGATCTTGCGGTAGCCGGGGACCAGGCGGGGGTTCACGGGCTCCAGGAAGGGCCACGCGTCCTCGTGCGACTCCATCTCCATCAGGATGATCCTGGGGGAGCGGCAGGGTCAGGGGGAGCCCCCGGGGGCACGGCCCGAGCCCCCTCCCTGCGGCCCCCCCGGCCCCACTCACTCGCAGAAGGTGAGGTCGCTGGGCTGGCCCCGCAGGGTCACTCCCCTCCGTTTGGTGGGGGTCAGCCCCTCTCCCGGGTACCGGGGCATGGGCAGCCCCTCTCGGCGGCGCAAGGCCGGGCGGCGCCGCGGGTTCTCCTCCTCCTCCTCCGGGGTCCCCCCGAGACGCCCCCGTTTCCGCTTCTTGCCCCGCCGGGGCGAGACGGGGTCCCGGTACTGCCCTGCCTGCGGGGAGGAGACGGGGGTCACGCCGAGCCCGGGGTCACCACCGGCCTGGCCGGGTGGGGGACGGCCCGGGGACCTACCCGGGACACGCAGACGGAGCAGAACCAGTCGCCCTCGGGCACCTCGGTCATCCTGGGCCGGTGGCAGTAGAGGTGGCAGCCGCGGTCGCAGCCGTCGCACAGCAGCAGGTGCTCGTCGTCGTCCCCGCGCCGGCACACGAGGCAGGTCTGTGGGGAGGGGGGGCTCGGTCAGGCTGGGGAGGGGGCTCTGACCCTCCCTGCCTCACCCCCGGAGCGGGGTCTCACCACTCTGTTCACAGACTTCTCCCAGGCGATGGATTTCTCCAGCTGGAAGATGCACAGGGACACCTGGGCCGCGCTCCGGCACCGCTCCAGCGTCTGCCGCCACGTCCGCACCCGCGGCGTGATCTCGTAGGCTCTGGGGGGGATCGGGGGGCTCAGCCAGAGCTGGGGGTCCTGCTCCGCCTGAGCCTCCCAGCGCTTGCTGGTCACTCACATCTCAGTGGGGCCCAGGCTCAGCTCCTCGGGGTTGCTCAGCACCGCCTTCTCCACCACCACCTCGTGCAGCGGCCACAGCGGCTCCTTCAGGTACCGGCGCTCCAGGTTCTGCTCCAGCGCCAGGAGACGGAGCACGGCCAGATCCAGAGGGTTGGTGCGTTCCCGGCGCAGCGGGAGCCCGTCCCGCCGGGAACGGACCGTGATGTCCTCCAGCGGCTCCACCTTGTGCTCGCAGTACCGGAGGTCGTCCCGCGTGGAGTCGGGGCTGGGGCACGTCCAGCCCTGCGGGAGGGAGGGGGTTAAAGGGGGTTCGGTGGGGGGGAGGTCACCGTGGCACCAAAACCACCATCCCCGGCACAGAGACCACCATCCCCGGCACCCACCCGGATCTGCAGGTCGGCCATCAGCACGCGCTGCTCCAGCTCCTCCACCCACTGCAGGACGCCGAGGTCGGTCTCGTAGGCTCTGTCCATCACCGACCACCGGGCCAGGACTTCCTGAGACACGGCGGCACCGGCCGCCTCGGGGCGCGGGTGGAAGATGGGGTCTGGGGGGTGAAGGGTGGGCTCAGGGGATGGACAGCCAGCACCCCTCAGGCCTGGGGGTGCGGGTGGAAGAGGGGTCTGGGTGGATGGAGGGTGGGCTCAGGGAGGGGGACAGGCAGCCCCCACCCCGGGGGCACAGGCAGCCCTTACCGGTGGTGGCCCGGAGGCAAACCTCCCGCAGGAACTCCTTGTGCTTGGTGAGGTGCTTGTGCAGGGCCTTCTCCCGGATGCCACGCGGGTGCAGCGCCCGGGCCACGGCCTCCAGCTCCTCGGGGTCCCGCAGCCACCACCAGCCGCTCTGCATCTCTGCAAGGCAGTGCCAGGGCTCAGCACCGTGCCGGGGCACCGGCACCGCCCGCCCTGGGGGTCCCGGGCTCTCACCGGGGGGCACGGGCTGCTCCGTCAGCTGCGTCAAGTATTTCTGTTCAATCTGCTTGAAGAATTTGGTGGGGGGTCGCCCTCGGCGCTTGGGCTGTCCCGGCACGTCCTGGAGCTTCTCCGGGTTGCCCCGGCTCCGGGGGCAGGCGCCGTGGGCCCTGGGCCCGGCGTGCACCGGCGTGGAAGCGAGCAGGGGAGCCGCGGGGGCGTCCGTGGGGAGGCCGTTCAGCTGGGTGGGATGGGGGTGTCAGGAGAGCCAGACACCCCCCCTGATCCTTGGCCCTCATTCTGCAGCCCCCCTGGTCCCCAGTCCCGCAACCCCCCCAGCCTTGGAGCTGTTTCCCTTCCCACCAGCTCACAGCCCAGAGGATTGGGGGCAGCTCGGCTGAGCTCCACGTGCCAACCCCGAGCCTGTCCCCCACCCTGGGGGTGCCCAGTGCCCAGGCTGAGGGCCCCCCACGCTCCCCACAGCCCCCCAGGCTGGGGTGCAAGTGCTGGGTGCAGCCTCCCCGTGTGGTACCTGCTGGGGTGAGCCCTTGGGGGGGTCCCCGTGGGTCTGGCTGCGGGGGGGCACAGCGGGGCCTTGTGGGGAGGGCTCGGCCGAGGAGGTAGCGAGGGGGGCTCGGTCGTCGCAGGGCGTCCGGGGCAGCAGGTTGAACCAGGGCCCCCGCTTTTCCACAGCCTCCGGGGCACTCTCCTCCTCTTCCTCCTCCAACTCCTCCTCCATGGGATCTGAGGGGGCCTCGAGTGGCGGCAGCCCCGCGTCCCCCTTGCCGGGGCTGCTGGCCGGGGTGAGGACGGAGTCCTTGAGCAGGGACGACTGGGTCTGGCTCAGCCAGGAGAGGAAGGCGGACTGGCTGAGGTCGTGCTGGCTCTGCCCCAGGGGCTCCGGCTCCTCCAGGACCCCGTTGACGGGGGTGGGTCGGGGTCCACAGTGCTGTGCCAGCTCCTCTTTGCTCTTCCTGGGCCGGCCCCGGGCGCGGGAGGTCGGGCAGCTCGTCCGGCTGGGAACGGGCACGTCCGCCGGCTCCTCCTTCACCGGGGACACGTGGGGGGGCACCTTCTCCTCGGGGGGCTCCGGGGGCGTCGGCTCAGCCGCTGCGAGGGCAGGAGGAGGAGGAGGAGGTGAGATGTGGGGTCCTCTCCCGGCTGGGAGAACCCCCAAAAGCCCCTTCCCCGCTCACCCTCCGCGCCCTCCACGAAGATGCCGCCCAGGTGGGGCAGGACCCAGTAGCGCCGCCGGTACCGGTCCTGGCCCAGGGAAGCCGCTCGCAGCGTCTGGGAGGAATGGAGCAGCTTCTTGCGGAAGAACATCTGCCTCTGTGGGGAGAGTGGGGGGCGGTGAGGGGGCTGCAGCCCCCCAGCGGGGCTGAACCCCCAGCCCTCCACCACCCCGCTCACCTTGGCCAACTTCTCGATCTGCCGCTCCAGCTCCGGGACGCTGGACGCGGACGTGTCGGCCTGGGGAAGGGATGGATCCGTCAGGGAAGCGCCAGAAGGCGGGAAAGAGACCCCCAAGAGTAGCATCCCTACCTCTGTCCCCCAACCCCGAACCACCCCACCTCCTCCTCCCGGCGGGATCTCCGTCCCCGGCTCTCCTCCTCCTCCTCCATCTCCAGGTCCATGTCCTCAGTCAGGCGGGAGCTGCGCCGGCGCCGTCCGTCCTCCAGGCCCGTGATCTCCGACTCGGGACGGCCCGTCTTCTTGGCCAGGGCGACCTTCAGCCTGCCAGGACACAGCGGAGCTGTTTGACTCCTGTCCCTCTGCCCACCCCCACTGCCCCAGAGGCACCCGCTCACACCCCACCGCTGGCAATGCCACCCCGAGACCCCTCAGCGCCGGAC